CACTTGTTACTACTTAAGACAACCATATGCTTCACATACTGACAATTCTAGTAACAAGTGCCACGCTAGTAGTAACAGGTGCCTTACTAGTAGTAACAAAAAGCTATTAGAATCAGTATAAAATTAATAGCTTCTTGTTACTACTAGTAAGGCACTTGTAGGTGCATCACAGCAACATGTGTGACACAAAGTTTAAGATTACCAAATTGCCAGTGGCGATAACCAACACATGTCCTGGTTCATCATCCTGGAAAAAGAAGAAGCCCACCCGGTCACTTGCTTTTTAAGTATCGTTTTGGTCCAGAAAGAGTGAGGCCGAGCATGTCCAAAGGCGAAAGATTGGACACGAACAATTTGGCTTTGTTCTCCTTCTGATGAATATCAGCTTCGGCCTATCGCAGCTTGACCGAATCTATTCTTGGGCATGCTGATCTTGAAGGTGGAAAAGTTTCGAAGCACGCATTGGACCCGGTCCGATCCTTCATTGGTCACAAGGAAAGGACCAGTGAGTCAGTTTGAGGAAACGGGAAGCTAAGATATTGTTGAAAGAAACAGACTGGTTTAGATCAAGATCCGATGCGTCTATTTAGCTTTCCTTTCATATCTCTTATTTGTACAACAAAAGAACGAGGTGTCGTGCTTTTTGCTACAGACCTGAGCTGCATTGCTGTGCGCCACGGCAGCGTCCGCAGGAGCCGCATCTTCCGCCAAAGCGGCGTCGTAGGCAGCAATGGCCTCGAAGTGAAAAGCAAAACTTTGGGCTTTCCTTTCTTTGGCTGTTTATTGAAGAATTTGTTGTTTATCTTTTCCTGTCGATTTTAAGTCTGTTCAAGGTCTTGAGGCTTTTGAAGAATCCCAAGAAAACCGGAATTCAGAATCCAACTGTGCTGATTGTGCCGAACAGGCCTTGACAAAGTCACCAGCCTTGAAGAATGCATTTCCTTCATCCTCAAGTCTTTCAAATTTGCCAAACGGCAAACAAGCTCGAAGGAGCAGAAATGCAGTGGAACTCTGGAAGGCTCGATGTGATCGGTCCTTCTTGGCCAAAAAGTCCGTGGACTTCTTCGTGACCTTCGTGGACTGCTGGGTGAAGACAGGAACAGCTCGACCATGCTCGGCAGCATCCAAAATGGCATCCACTTCGCCTCGACTGGCTCAACAAGCTTGTCCCTTTCTTGTTCTCTTCTTGAAACACCGACGCCGAACACATGCAAAAGCATCAAGCCTTCTAACATAATTTCACTAGAAAGGCACGCGCAAGCCTAAAGTATCGCTGGGAGCGGACACATGTCTGTCATGAGTTTAGGTATATGGTCGCGGTCTCAGTTGGCCTTATGAGGCATGGGCATGCCTGGTTACATTGACTTAACAATGGCCTTGTTTACAAAGGAAGGAAGAAACGACACACAAAAAATGAAAGGTCCAAAAGTAATAAGGAAGTGTTCGTGATGCTTTGCCGGTGCCAATATCGCCCAGTGATTGCCTTGATCGATTGGCACGGAGAACTCCCCAGGCGAGTGCAAGGGCGGACCGCCAGGTGAATAAGGCATCCACCGCCAAACCATACCTCCAACAAGTTGAATCAAGCAGAAGTCGCCTACCAACATCTACTAGCCTACATTTGTCTATTCCTTTACCCCTTTTTCAACTGTACTCTCCGTACTCTCCTATTGTTTTAGAACTTCCCGTCTTTCACGCCGTGGCGCCTTCGCTGGCGACCGATTCCAAGGGATGTCTCTCCGAACGGGCGTCTTTGGAGTCCTTCATCTTGAGCAGCCGCATCCTGGGCACAGCTCGTCTTCCGGGTTTGGCGTCACGTTTCGGTGTCACAGGGACCTCGCATGGCATCGGCTTCCCCTTTTTCCAAGCGTTGGCCATTATAGGTCAGCATTTGCCGTGAACTAGGGCGGGAAGGCCTAGAAACAGGGTTCTTCCCCGTCCGAGCTGTCCTTGCCCTCATCAGAGCTATCAGACCTGATTGCATCCTCAAACAAAATGCGGATGCCAAGCCTCCGCGCCCAAGAGTTGACCCTCACATCTAGGAGAAGCATTGCGAAGAGTGACAAGGCTAAGGCCGATAACAAATGCCATACATCATGTAAATCGAAGATTCCGAAGACACATTCTTGGTTCACATCATGACTTTGAGCGGGTGTGGTGTTCGGCTCCACGATCACCACCTTCTGCCCGAAGCAAATCACCGCCATGACGGCCACGCCACACAGGACGGCAGCATAGCTGTTCTTAATGAGGCGCCCACCGACCTCCCGGAAGGAACAGCTCATGTAAGCGATGTCTTTCACGTAAAGCTGCCGACCCACCACGAAAATCATCACCAGCACTGAAAGCATCAAGAACAGGTTTGCAGTGCCACTGAAGATGTGTCCGCGCAACTGAGGTATCAGGAATGAGACTGAAATGGCGATAATGAGGCACAGTTGAAGCATTGTCTTGGCGAAATGCCCACATGCGCCGGGCGCTGGAAAGAGCCGGTTCATGCTCCCTCCGAAGACCAAGCTCGCGAACCAGGCAATGACTCCAAAGGCGTAGATCCAGTAGAGAATTCCGATGGGAAACACCTGGATGTCATACCAGGTGCCGATGAAGTTCACAAGCCAAATGGGTGTCAAGATGTAGCCGAAGTACTTCACAGCAGAGATCGAATCCGAGCCTTCCTCCCAGTCCACCAAGGCTAAGGTAAAGAGATTTGCAATGGGAATCATGAAGCACGTATCGAACTGAAATGTTTCCACTGAAGGGCAAAGATGATAGCACATACTTCCAACTCCTTCCCCCAAGAAAGCCACCCCAATGGCATAGAAAGCCCTCAAATCAATGTCCCTGACCAATTTCTCCATGTCATCTTCCTTGATTGATTGCCGATGATCCTGGTCAATGCGGCGGAAAGCCGCCTCCCATTCCCAAAGCTCCAAGAAACCATCGTTGTTTTCGTCGATGAAATCAAAGCCCGTGGCATTGGTGTAGGTGTCCTGATAGGTGGAGGCCATCACTATTCGCTTAAGTTTCCCTGAAAATCCAGGAACCAAATCATTAGTGCGAGCGTGAGCTATCCTGCGTCCAGTAGCTAGTAGTGTACTAGTAAGGTAGTAGCTAACTCTCGCGCCTAGTTAAGCTACCCTACCAGCTACCTCGGCCTACCCGGGCGAAGAAAACAAAAAAGAACAAACAATGGGCCAAGCTTCGACCCACTCCTGCCTGGAAATGTTGTTATTCTCCCTAAGATCAGCTTTCAGGAAGAGTTCTCTCCAATCGTCACGAGTCAAAAAACCTTTTCTTTTCAAATCCATGTCATTGAACAAAGCCTGTATCGATCGTCGAGAGAAGAAATAGCAACGAGTCTCTGCGAAAAAGGCTTGTAAGACAATGTTGAAAGCAGCGACCACATATGCAAAGTTTGAGAAAATATGGTTCCATGGAAGATCCAAATACTTCCCTGGGTAGTAACACATCTCATTGTAGAAGCAAATGTCTCGATTGCCTGTCCGAGTCATCAATCCATAGTGCGTCATCACAAACTGAGCCGTCGTTGCCAAAAAGACCCCCAGCATGAGCGTGAGCAGTGTAGGGAAGAACGGCAACGGTTGTCTGACTCCCTGGAGTTTCCACAAAAGCATTTGCCAATGCTCACTGCCACACATACCAATCACCACTGGCCACAAGTTTTTCTCGTGTGAAGGGCGGTCATGGTGCTCGTGGCACCAGTTCAGAAGCGAATAAGCAAAAACGTAAATGGCGTTCACCGAGAGCAAGGCGATCAAGGTTCCGAGGATGACAATCCCAGCGCCTGCGGCCAACTTCCACCAAAGATTGGACTCTCTCACTGCCTCAACTTGGAGAGTCGTTGCGGGACAGTTGTCGAAGTTCATACAGGTGGCAAAAAGCACCCAGTTGCCTGCTTGGATTGCAGGAATGGAACCTCTGCTGAGAGTCAATTGTGCGTGCGTTTGGAAGGTTAAGTGCAAAGCCACTTTCACATTCTCTTCTGGATCAGGGCTCCTGAAAGAGACATGGACGGACTTCAAGCAAGTGTGCAACAAGACGGCGTCCACACATCCCCCATCGTTGATGATACTGGCAATGCAGGGTGAAGATTCAGGGAAGATGAAGACCCGCGAGGTGGGAAAATCCTTGGGGTTCGAGCTTGAATGCTGAGCAGTCATCTTCAAACGCCACAAATCGATAGAGGAAATGTCTGGAATTTGAAAGGTATGCACTGCTTCTCGACCACGTCCGCCACCATAGCGCAAATGGAATCGATACTTGTGTTGTTTGGGCATCGGCCGCACCTTGGCGTTCATATGCACCGTTGCAGCGTAGTTGGTGGCGACCAGCGATGCGATCCGTACATTGGGGTTGGCTTCGGCACCCATCATACAAAAGAGCACGTCGTCCACATCAAGATCTTGGGGGCATTTGCCTGACAGCACCCAAAGCGTCCTTGTTCCCAGTAGTATGGCCAGGAGCTACTAGTAGCTTCTTGCTCCTAGTAGCGATGCCCTTTGCTACTAGTAGCTTCTAGTTTACAAGCAAAGAAGGACACCACTCAGTGTTAATTAGATTCTTCAGGCATGGCACAACAAACGCAAATGAGTGACACATCGCTTCCATGAATTACGAACGCCATTGAAATCCTTCCCTTTGAATCCTTTTCATTCTCGGCCTTGCTCGTCTGCATGAGCATGCCGATGCAAAGACACATAGTTGGTCCTGTATCCGAAGATGGTATCAACGACTAGGTCTGATGTGCAGTTGGTCGCTGGAGAGATCTGCGTCCGCAGCAAAACACGAAGCTCGAACATATCCTTGAACATGCCAGAGTTGGGGGTGATCATTTCAAACCGGGGGCTGCTGGTTTCGCTGCTCAAACTTCTGCAGCTGAAATCCACTTCCTTTGCTTTCCTTTCTTGGATGCATTGGCCATCGATTTGGCCTCCAGCAAGCCGCACCAGCGCCCAAAGTAGGGACGCCCACCAGTGCCCTTTAAAGGTCATGTTTGCCACGTCTTTGGTCGTTGAAGGAGCAAATAACCTCTGGTGTTAGCAAGGCGCCATACAAAGCCTTTTTTCTATTTTCTTTCGGAGTCTTCAATGTCTAATTTGTCCCTTTTGCTGTGCATTTCTTCCCTGTGCGAACTCTTGCGCTATTCTACTGGGAGCCTTTTTGGCTCTTCCTTCCTTGAGCCAACTGCAAGTGTTGGTCAGTGCCGCGTCCTTCCACAAGTTCGATCGGAACTTAGCCTGTCTGAAGTATAGTAGATTGAAGCTAAAAGCGCGCTCTTTATTAGCTCGAACCAAGCAGCGGAATCGAAGAGAGGAGCTGCTTTGGATCGCGAACAGGAAGCTGGAGATTCAAGGTGTCACCTCGGGACATTGTCTAAAGTGAAAGGAGGGAACAAGAGGTCGAAGGAGAGAATCTCAATTCCTATTTCGAGATTTTGTTGAAACAAGCTGGGCTGGATAAAATTGTAATAGAACATAATAGAACATTCTTCTTAAATATTTTGTCGGAAGGACGGTTCCTGGATCCTTTTCCTCCATTTTTTTTGGGGGTAGGCCAGCAAGAGGTGGTAGCTTAATAAGTAGGAGTAGGTAAGTAGCAAGCAAGCCTAAAGGAAGCTACGAGCTACCCGACGTAGGAAAGCCTGAGGAAGCGGGAGCTTCCTTGAAGAAGCCCTGCTATCTTCCTGAACGGCTTGCTCCCTCTGAAACAAAAGAACAAAAGACGAGAAACAAGGACACCAACACCTAAGTAGTAAGGCCAGGAGCCCCTAGTAGCGATGCCCTTTGCTCCTAGTAGCGATGG